TTTTTTTTTTTCGAGCACAAAATATAAGTATCATAAATTATATCGAGCTAATGTATTTATTATTTATTAGTTGATAATTATACGTTAAAAAAAAAAGGAATACAATTTTTTTCGAGTTTAAAGCATCGTTTTCGAGTAAAATAAAGTTTGAAAAATGCAAGTGAAATTGAATGATTAGATAAGTTGATTATTGGTAGAAGACTATTTTACATAAATATATAAAAATAAGTAAAGAGCGTGGAATAAAATTTTGTCGTTTAAACGAAAAAATCGTACTCTACTATTTTTAGAATAGAACTTTGATTTATTTTATTTCACTGGATTATTCATATTTCTTCGATAATAATATAATAATCCAGAAATATCTCATTATTTCTTTCTTCTATAAAATTTTACATTTAAAAGAAAACGAAAGGGAAATAAAAACGAATATAACTGAGAATAAAGGGATGGGGAGGGAGAGGGGAAGTAATATCGCGAGAAGATAGAAATCCTTGAATTTACGAACAATAAATGAACGTATAAATCAAAAAAAAAAAACCCTTTTTTTTCGTAATTCAACCACATAATTAGAATTATCATAAAAAAAATTTAATTTCCATTCTTTCGTACTATACGAAATATAATTAAAACCCACCAATGTGTATTCACATTCACATATCCAAAATATATACATATATATATAAATAATTCTCACCTTTGACATAAACTAGTAAGAACTATTCCCTATATTCCCGTCACTACGAGATGCATTACGAAATTTATCCGAGTAAAAAAGTTGGAGAACGAATCGATGCGAAAAACCGGCAAGAAGAAAATGATCATTTTTTACAATTGGAAAGTGAACGGAAGAAAATTGTAACGGTAACAACCAGAAGCTAGAACGATGAATTAATTAGAGATATATCTTTTATTTTTCAGGGTCGCGACGCGTAAATACATACATAATCGAACAATGGAGTCTCTATGAGCCTCGTCCCTCCTTCAAGTTTCCGCTTCCCTCCAACATCCCTTGTATC